AGACTTATCCCCAATCCACAAAGGGAAGTGGCGGATATCCACCCTCAGGAGGAGGCTTCAAGGATGGCGGCAGATTGCCCCACGTCATTCCCATACCGGCTCCCTCCACACCACCTGCTTATCAGAACAAGATAAAAAGAATAAGCAGAAGGAAGGAACCACAAAAAAAACAAAGAGGGTGATCACCGAGTGGAGTTCCCACTTGAGAGGAGAAGGGTCTTGGGAGCATTGAAACTAGAATTATGGCTGTTGCTCTCGTCAGATTCTATCACAAAAACATCTAAGATGATGTAAACATCCTTTTTCCTTAACATGAAGAGGTAAAATTGAAAATGAAAAGACCTGGTGCTGGTTCGGGTGCAGCTTGAGGGTTTGTGGTTGGCGAATCTTTCTTTGGATGGAAATATTTGCAGTTATCGCCGTACTGGCAAAATCCCTTGAAGAGGAAAAAAGAACAACTCCATTTAAATTAATAAAGTAAACCCAGAAGAGTTTGCGGGAAAAGAGGGTTGTTTACCGTTTTGAGGAAGCGATTGCAGAGTCCTTTTGCAAAGGGTTCAGTAAAACTGTGATTGGGATCTGCGATCCAATCAGAGAAGAAAGAAGGCACAAAGGCAGGCATTGATGAATAAATAAATAAATAATCGTTGACATATAGGTATAAATAAGGAGGGGGTAGTGGTGGCAAAATAGAAAATACCATTGGTGGCGTTGAGGGAGTGGAACCATTGAGCTTTGGCACGGAGGTGTTGGAGGCCCTGCAGGTGGCGTTTTCGAGCAGAAGGGGTATCTTGGAACTGCTTCCCACAGTAGTCGCAATAATACTTTCCCAGCGGCATATTATTCTTCTTCCTTTCGCTGGTTCTCGTCTATCTTGTTCGAGGACGGCCACTTTTTTCAGTTTTGGTTGAAGACTGAGAAGCTAATAAATGTTTCTAATCTTCTTCCATCTACTAGAGTATTGCTTTCATGGAAATCTTACCCTCTACTGTTCAAGTTTCAAAAGACTAAATGGTAGATAATCACAATTAACCCGGATGTTATCTGAAAATACTCGACAATAAAGGCACCTCTCCCACAACTTATTATCAAAACTGGTAGCGCTGTTTTGATACTCCCCTCAGTCGATCTTCTTTTTCTGTTTTGATTGATGCAATCCCACGCTCTCGTATTTGCTCGTATATAGGCCAAAAAAAAAAAAAAAAACACTTCATTACAGCACAGCCCCAGAGGAAGGAGGATAAAATGGTGAGACTAATAATCGCCTTGGCCATTTCATGTAATGTGGAGTAACTTTATTTGATATCCAAATTTCCATTCAAGAAAACACAGGAGAGTCCAGAGAATGCCCAAAAGGCCAGTATGGTTAAGAATCCATAACCTACTTTCACATCTCAAAAAGGAATACAATATAAGACAGCAGGCAGAGCGTCGTCCTTATGAAACCCGCTTAAATAACTGCCTACAACATATAAACACTCAACTAAACACTGATCTTTCCTTCCCGCGGATTACAGACAATACATCAGAGTACACGTTGGTTTCCATCTATCTCGGATGTTACAATCCGTAGCGTTACATAGAAATAGGTTTTGGAGTTTGGGCAGGAGGATTACGTCTAAATCTGCTTTTACATAGGTAACTCGTACACGTGAATACAACAAGAATAATTTGCATATAAAAAGAAAAAACACAGCTTCCATAAGATAATACACTTTTGCTAGTTGGTTACATTTGCATCAAATCACAATCCAAGAAAATGACATTACTTTCTTGCATGCTCCGGAATCAATTTCACCAAAATCTCTGCCGGAACACCCTTCAGTTCTAGTGGACACAACACCACCAATTATAATCAATCATACATTTCAACAAGAATAATAAGGTTATGATAAAAAAAAAAAAATTGTTGCTGAATATTCCCTACCTTGTGATTTAAAGTTAAACAATGGTGGAAGGGAACGTCCATTTGGCAAGCGGGCATTTAGATCACGCAATTTCATCAAAGAAAGGATGGATCAAGGCATCTAGCTGCAACACGAGCAACACTTGCCAAAATGAGATGCATGAAGCAAACCAAAAGATTATATTACTCAGCAAGTAACCACGATTTTAGCTCTTCTATCATCTCCCTCCTCCCCCACCCCTAAAACAAAAACAAAAACAAGCAAAAAAGATAAAAGAACACATTAACATTCCTCTTCCTTGCTTGCTTAAGGAAAGAGTTGATAAACACAATACTAACCTAGCCTAAGGACTTTTTCCCCAACTGATATTGTCAACATCCTTTTACATCAGGAAGGAACCTCTGCTTGGTGTTTACTCCAAAAGTCCCACAGAAGACAAATTGAAAGAAAAGCAGAAAGGAAAAACATGAAACATAATAAAATAAAGATTTTATGTACTCACAGCAGAGCAACGGAGATTAGGAGAGTATTGGAGTAATCTTGACACCAAATCAACAGCTTCAGGAGGCATACGCCTATGGAATATCTAGAACCATAATAATTATAATAATAATTGCATGATAAAGTTATGGAAACAAAAGCCAATTGCACACCCTTTCTTTGATTCTCAATACCTTGTGCCATGGGTGAGCCTTAATCTGAGGGAATTTGAATTCTGTATAATTAGGGTTCATGCACTTAATTTCCTCTCGTGTTGGAGTGCCCAAGACCTAGAAAAAAGTCACGCAACTATCATTGTTAGAGAGAAATAGTCAATTTAACATTGGAAATGACTAAAAGAAGTGACTAAGAAGCGATTATGATACCAAACATGACACATACAATGGAAAAGTATTACAACCAAAGTTATTAGCCCAAGTACACCAACCAAATGGCACATCCAGAAGGGACACAAGTATCTCATGACATTATTGTTAACAAAAGTATGATAAATATGTCAATTTTGTATGGCAATGAATATGTCATCTCATGCAGAAAATATGTTTCCTCCCATCAACATATTCCACAAAGAAAAGATATTCTTGAAATAGTGTATATATATGTTAGCCTTGAATTGATAAAAGTTTTTGAATTGACGAAACAAAAAATTTGCCTAACTTGAATCAAATTTATTTTATCTCAAATTGAACATTTTTCTAACCTTCTGTCTTGCCAAAAATTATTTTTGAATTAAAGCAAAACATGTTTTGGAAACAAAAATGGACTTTTGGACAATTTAGGATAGAAGGGATCGATCCCCTAAAGGAAGGCATCAATCCCCTCACATGACCCGATCGATCCCCTAGCTAAAGGGATCGATCCATTTTTCTTCCAGTAGCCTATCTCGTGCAAGTTTTTCAAAAATCAATCAATCCCCTCCCTGTAGGGATTGATTGGCTAGGTTTTCTAAATGAACCAATCGATCCTCTCTTTAAAGGGATTGATCCATTTTTTATCCAAAAGCAAAACAAGTTTTAAAATTTGCAGAAAGGATTGATCCCTCTGCACAAGGGATCGACCACCTGCGATAAGGGATCGATCAGGTCCCTTACATGATTGATCGGGTAGTCTGATAATGCACAAGATTTTAACTGACCCAATCAATCCTTTATATGATAGGATCGATCCCCCGGTGCCCAGAAAGCCCTAACGATTATTTGAAATTTTGCAGGTTTCAAGCATTAAATGCAAGCAACAGCTATCTTCCTCTTTCAACATATAAATGATGGTTTCCTACTACATTTGAAGAGTAGGAAAAGCCAAGAAAACTTATTGCTTCCATCTACCATCTTTTCCAAGCATTAAAGAGCATTTTAGTGTGAGAAAAGTGCATAAATTCTTGTTGTATTAGAATTTCTCTTGATATTCTTATTAATCTTGTTTTATACTTCAAATTAGCAAACACCCAAACTTAGAGAGGTTCTTTGAGTTTGCAAAACACTTAAAAGTTTGTATTGTGAGGTTGTGAGCTTAAGGGGGGGATAACCCGTAAGAGATTGTGGTGTTGATTGTATAGAGCTTTAAAGAGCTAGGTTGTAACTTTCAACACATAGTGGATTGAACTCCTTGGCAAATTAGGCTAAGGGAGAGCACATAGGTGCCTAAAGGAATGGCTGAACTTGTATAAATTTCGGTGTTTGATTTTCTATCTCTATCTCTTGCTTTTAAGATTATTAGTATACTCATATTTATTGTTTTTATTTGTTTAGAAAAATTTATTTGCAAAATTTGTGCTTATTGGATATTGAATCTTGAAAATTTTATTATAAACCAATTCACCCCCCTCTTGGTTTATTTCAAGTCTTTGAGCTATTTATATATATATATATATATATAGACATTGCACTAACTACTATGTCAAAAATTGAAATACCTTAATAATCTCAACAAGCTGGTCGACTCCACTCTCACCAGGAAATAAAGGCTGAGATAAATACAAAAAATATTTAATATAAAACACTAAGGTAAATTTAAAGATATAATAACAATCATGAACCTAACATGCACAAGCTTCCTACCTGTCCAAGTAACAGTTCAGCAAGGACACAGCCAACAGACCAGATGTCAATAGCTGTAGTGTACTCAGTTGCTCCAAATATTAGCTCAGGTGCTCTATAATACCTTGAACAAATGTAGGATATGTTTGGTTCCCCTTTCACCTACCAAGATAGAAAATATAAAATTGTAAGACGTCAGCAAAAATCAATGATTGATAATTTAACAAATAAGTAGAAGACAATAGAAATCAGAATGTACCAAGACTTTCGCACTTCCAAAATCACATAGCTTAACCTGATGAGTATGAGGATTTACCTGCAGGGAGGAAAGTGTAAGACATCAAGATCATGTAGAAAACAAAGAGACTTTACAAGTTCATTCACTTTGCAGATAAAGAAACCAGGTACTACTATAATCAACCAACAAGGAGATATCATATTACGAAAGAAAGTGATACTTGAACATACCAAAAGGTTTTGAGGTTTAATGTCCCGATGACACAAACCAATGCAGCGATGGATGTAAGACAAAGCCCTAAATATCTGCCAAACATCAACCTTTATTAGCATCTCCACCAAGATTGAATTTAAAGAACACGAGAACAACCACATTTTGAAAAACCAACACTGCACCTGGTATGTATAAAGTTTCACATATATCAATGGCATCCTTTGATTCAACTTGTTATAGTGCTTGATCACACGATGAGCAGTTTCAGGTACATACTCAAGTACCAAATTAAGATAAAGTTCATCCTTTTCAGTTGTTGAAAAAAAGCAATGCTTCAAAGCCACAACATTTGGGTGGTCAAGAAGACGCATTGTTTGCAGCTCACGGTTCTTGTACCTCTTATCTTGAAGAACTTTCTTTATAGCAACAGTTTCACCTGTCTCCAAGCACTTTGCCTAAATTTAAAAGAACCAACGAATATCCATTACTAACCCAAAAATGAAGATTAGTAAGTTATACCACCTTTCAGGAAACAAACAACAGGTTTTCTTACCTGGAAGACAACTCCAAATGATCCATGTCCAACCACACGTTCAGCCATGTAACTAATTGTCTGGAATTTTACACACATAGTGTTATATGAGAAGAAGATGACATGTGATGAAAGAAAATGGGACAAAAGAAAGACAAACTTGTACTGCTCACTCATTGCAATCAAATCTCAAGGAAGAAGAAGAATACCTGTTTTGGTTGACCATTTCTACCACCAATAGTTGTCACAATTATATGTCCTGTCTCTGTCCCATTACCATCCACAACCGTTGCTTCCATTTCCTGCAAATTTCAGATGATCTAAGAGTGGTATTTTTATTTTTCTGCATATTTGGTAGTATTAAATTAATCAATGAGAAAAATGCAAAACCAGGGGATTCCAATGATAGAGGAAAAAAATTGTCAGGCAAAGAAATGCATACTTTGTCATCTCTAATTTTCATGTCATTCATCTCCTCAGGTAACTTCTCGACACCAGCAGCACTAGATTTTCTTAAACCCGAAGTACCCGCCACGTCCACGGAAGCCATCTTTAGGACAATCTTTTGTCCTAATCCCGTTAATTCTCGACCTCAAAAGCCAATCATTTATCTACAACGCAAAAGGGGGAAAAGATGTCAATAAACTCAATGGAGATAAAAGTAGTATGTTAAAACAATCTCCATCATTAACTGCACTACCAAGTTAGGTGTAAAATCAAACAAACTCAAGATATACCCAAAACAATCAAGCAAACTGAGCTCTTCGACCTATGTAGAAATCTTTACAAAAAATCACCCAACCAGTTTCAAAACCAAAAAAGAATTCAACGGATACCCTTTTTTTTAATCCAAAGAAAAAAAAACGACTACAACAGTTTGGAATCCATCAAAGCACAAATCTTTTATCTTATAGTATTTATAAGGATATCTCCAAATCTAGCTAAAAAGGCCCTTTTATGATCTCATCAGGACAAAAAGAGCTAACCCGACTTAACAAGCTAAAATACGAAATAAAAAGAAGCATAAAAAATTTGAGCAATTTCGTTAAGTATAAGCACTAATTGTCAACTTTTATGGTATGGGATTTCAGGATATAAACACAGTTCACGATTAAGGATTTATCAAGCAAATTCAGCAACATAGAAAAATTCTTTCCATTTAATAGATTACTACGATATCATATCTAAAGAAGGAAATCGAAACAACAAAAGAGAAAACACCCATCTTTAATGATTGTTTAATAATAATCAAACGTAATTTTTTTATAAAAAACTATAAAAATAAAGATCTAAAAGGAAAATTTCAACCACAAAAAATCTGATTTTTTTTTTATTTCAAGAAAAAAACTGCGGACCCAAATCTGATAACACCAAGAAGATCGTAAAGGAAACAACACGATTCAAACCATTTTTTTTTTAAAAAAAAAAAAGAAGCAGAAATCCATCAATTCTATACCAAAAAAACCAAAAAAAAAAAAAAAAAAGACAGAGAATCAGAGGTTGATATACCTATGAATTGAAAAAGAAAATTGAGAAGTCGAAGAAGAAGTGACGTGTATGAGGCGACGCAGAGGATTAAGCGGTAGCGTTAAAGAGGGAAAGAAAAATGTATTGTAATTTGTAATTTGTAATTGTACGTGTGATTGAAGAAATTTGGTGGTTATATATTCCTTCAGCTATCTATGTTCTGTATTTTTATTTATAGTGAATAATTTTATTTTTACTTATTTATGTTGTGTTTTTTTTTTTTTTTTGGGTGATTATTATAAATAATTAATCACTGAAATTGTTGAATATGGATTGGTTTTTTCTGCGTTTTGACTCTTCATACTCTACTTACCTTTTGTTTGTTTGTTTGTTTGTTTTGTTTTGTTTTGTTTGGGTTACAATAGTGATAATGGTTACTTATAGGTACAAAAACATCTTAAGAAATTATTATATTTCTTTTTTAGAGATATTGAAAAGAAAATTGAAAAAGACATTCTTAAATTGGGCTAGGGTGAGATCCAAAAGCAAGACCAACCCCATGTTCCTTTTGAATGAAGACTTACAAGGCCATGGCCCAAATCAACCTAAGCCAAGCCCTGTCCATCTTGTACTCTTGTCTTGTTTTGTCCAAATTACATTGGCCCAAGTTTTATTTTATGTTTCCACTTACACTCTCAAATTAAATAAATAAGGCCATCCTCACTTTTATCTTTCCACTCCATTTCTTCATCCCCTCTTTTTCAATCTTTCCTTTTAATTTAATTCCTTCTTATTATTCAATCAAAACCAAATGTAAATTTTACTTCTCATCCTCTCTTGTTTATTGTATATTACTACTATGCAATTTCATCATCAGTTCATTGATCCCTCTTTATTTCTCATATATGGATAAGGACAACCTTTTTTTTTTTTTTATCTTAATAATAAATCATCAATTATTTCACCATGTGTGCATAGATTTAGTGTGGCTATAGTAAATATGAACTTATGATATTTGTAAATAGTTAATAAATATTCCAATTCTTTATCATAAAAAGGAAAATTATAAGAGATAACCACACATTAATAACTGCTATACTTCTTGTGTTTCATAATGATGGAAATGATCTAATGTAAATTATATTTAACCTAAGTTTATCAACAACAACAACATAAGTTGAGGTAAAATTTAAAGTGCCTTTAAAAGAAAAAAAAAAAAAAAAAAAAAAAGGTTGACCTAAGGATAAGCAGAGGGGGTGACTACAAAAGGGCCTTGATACATATTATTTCCAACAAAACGAAATTATAGTAATTCATATGCTTCTTCTCTTTCTTCCTTTCCTTCTTTGTTTCTCCATCTTTTCACCATTGCCAATTATCCTTCCCTTTCTTTATATCTAATACTATTATTAGTCTATTTCGTAACAATAATTATTATCCTTAGAATTGTCTCTCATATCTGATCCATTTTCTCTATTTGCCTAAACCCAAATACCATCCATCTGCATCCGATCCACCTTCATCATCTAAAACCAAAACTCATCACTTCCTTCTCCTTTTCTCTGGTTTTCTTCTTCATTCACTCATATGATATCCTGAGACCTTCTTCACATCAAACCAATCTTCTTTTCATTTGAATATTATTCCTGTTTGTGTGTAAGGTACCTGTTTCTTCTTTCAAAATCATGTTTTGTTCAATAAAGCTTCCCAATTTAACTTCAATTTTTTCTCTTTATGGATAGTGAAACCAAGGATCAACCTTTTTTTTTTTGGGAATTTAGCTTTTGTTATCAGAAAATTGAGGATTTGCTAAAGCTACGGCCTTGCCTGGCAGGTATTTTTTCCCATTAAAATTTTGAGTTTGAATTTTGTTCTATAATTATTGTGTTCTGGTGAATTCAAAGGTGATATGATTTTAGAATTCGTTTTATCAGGATTCATACAGGTATAACGAGCTGCTGCTTCTGCTGAAGGGGAAAGAGAGAACTGTAAGTTTTGTTTTTTTCATGAAAATTGCTCTATTTAGTGCCTGAAAAACTTTATAAAAAAGAAAATAATCTCTAAAGTTGGCATATGATTTGATCTCAACTAGGTAATTTAGACAGGCTGAATATAATACCAATATTTGCTTTGTTGCATTAGTTAATTCAGTGGAAGAACTCAGGTGTAAATGACAAGCCGCAAATAAAAAATGAAGCAGAATTTTCTTTTGTAATTCTACTCCTCTTGGCAAGATGACACCCATCAGTCTTTATGTTGTAGTACACTTTGTCAATGGTTTCAAAGATCATACTTTTGACTTTGATTTTGCTACTTCCTTCTATAATCTTATTATGCATACCTTGCTCTGATAATTTTAAGTGCATGTAGCATATAGCTAATTGGAGAATATCTATTCAGGTTGAACTATTGCCAAATGGAGAAGTAGATGGGAACTGATAATTATTTGTTGTTTATCACAGTTTGTGCTGACTGTCACCGTCAACAAGCTTTACTCTCCTTGATTCAAGTTCAGTATTTGAGTAATTCTCAATGGCTGAAAACCGGAATAGAAATGTCAAGCCTGCAAATGGCAAGCCACCAGTGGCTGCCAACCCATATGCCATCAATCTGGATAACTTCAGCAAGCGGTTGAAAATTTTATATTCACATTGGAATAAACACAGTACTGATCTATGGGGCGCTTCTAATGCTCTTGCCATTGCAACCCCTCCTGTTTCAGAGGATCTGAGGTACTTGAAATCCTCAGCACTAAACATTTGGTTGGTTGGCTATGAATTCCCAGAGACCATTATGGTTTTCTTGAAGAAACAGATCCATTTCTTGTGTAGCCAGAAAAAGGCCTCCTTGCTTGATGTTGTGAAGAAGTCTGCCAGGGAAGCTGTTGATGTTGAAGTTGTTATTCATGTGAAGGCGAAGGGTGATGATGGAACCGGTCTAATGGATAGCATTTTTCGAGCTATCTACTCTCAGACAAACTCTGGTGATCATCATGTACCTGTTGTTGGTCAGATATCAAGGGAGACACCTGAGGGAAAGTTCTTGGAGACATGGGATGAAAAGTTAAAGAATGCAAAATTTGAACTCAGTGATGTAACAAATGGGTTCTCTGATTTGTTTGCTGTCAAAGATGAAACTGAGCTTACAAACGTGAAAAAGGCTGCATTCTTGACTTCATCTGTTATGAGGCAATTTGTGGTGCCCAAACTTGAGAAGGTTATTGATGAGGAGAGGAAGGTTTCCCACTCTGCACTGATGGATGATACAGAGAAGACTATATTGGAACCAGCACGAATTAAGGTGAAATTGAAGGCAGAGAACATTGACATTTGTTACCCACCTATTTTCCAGAGTGGTGGAGTGTTTGATCTAAAACCAAGTGCTTCAAGCAATGATGAGAACCTTTACTATGACTCCACCAGTGTAATTATATGTGCACTTGGGTCTCGATACAACAGCTACTGTTCAAATATTGCTCGAACCTTTCTGATTGATGCCAATGCCACGCAAAGTAAGGCTTATGAGGTCCTCCTTAAAGCTCAAGAAGCAGCCATCGGTGCTTTGAAATCTGGGAACAGAGTGAACTCTGTTTATCAAGCAGCAATCTCAGTGGTAGAGAAGGATGCTCCTGAATTGGCTGCAAACTTGACCAAAACTGCGGGAACTGGAATAGGCCTTGAGTTTCGTGAGTCAGGGCTTAGCCTTAATGCTAAGAATGATCGAATCTTAAAACCAGGGATGGTTTTCAATGTGTCACTTGGTTTTCAGAACTTGCAGACGCAGACAAACAACCCCAGGACTCAGAAATATTCAGTGTTGCTTGCAGATACCGTCATTGTTGGTGACAAGGTACCAGATATCTTAACTTCTAAAAGTTCTAAAGCTGTCAAAGATGTGGCATACTCATTCAATGAAGATGATGACGAAGAAGAGAAGTTGAAGGTTAAAGCTGAGGATAATGGTCATGAGACCTTATTCTCCAAGACAACGCTCAGGTCAGACAACCATGAAATGTCTAAAGAAGAGCTACGAAGGCAGCATCAGGCTGAACTTGCTCGCCAGAAGAACGAAGAAACTGCAAGGAGACTTGCTGGTGGGGGTGCTATGGCAGCAGATAATCGTGGTGCAGTGAAGACTGTTGGTGATTTGATTGCATATAAAAATGTTAATGATCTGCCTCCTCCTAGGGATTTGATGATTCAGGTTGACCAGAAGAATGAAGCTATCCTCTTGCCAATTTATGGAAGCATGGTCCCTTTCCATGTGGCTACAGTGAAGAGTGTGTCCAGCCAACAGGACAGTAACCGTACTAGCTATATCAGGATAATATTTAATGTACCTGGCACCCCTTTCAGTCCGCATGATGCAAATTCTCTCAAGTTTCAGGGATCAATATACCTGAAAGAGGTTTCATTCCGCTCCAAGGACTCAAGGCATATCATTGAAGTTGTGCAGCAGATTAAAACACTCCGTCGGCAAGTTAATTCTAGAGAGTCTGAAAGGGCTGAGAGGGCAACTTTAGTTACTCAGGAGAGGCTGCAGCTTGCATCAGCCAAGTTCAAGCCAATTAAGTTGCATGATCTATGGATTCGTCCCCCTTTTGGTGGTCGTGGAAGAAAGCTAACAGGTTCACTAGAAGCACACACAAATGGATTTAGGTATTCTACTTCAAGGCCTGATGAACGTGTTGATGTAATGTTTGGAAACATCAAGCATGCCTTTTTCCAGCCAGCAGAGCGGGAAATGATCACTCTCGTGCACTTTCATTTACATAATCACATCATGGTTGGTAATAAGAAAACCAAGGATGTGCAATTTTATATTGAGGTGATGGATATAGTTCAGACATTGGGAGGTGGAAAGAGATCTGCCTATGACCCTGATGAGATTGAGGAAGAGCAACGTGAACGGGACCGAAAGAATAAAATTAACATGGACTTCCAAAACTTTGTGAATCGGGTTAATGATTTGTGGGGACAGCCCCAATTTAAAGCACTCGACCTTGAATTTGATCAGCCCATGAGAGAGCTTGGCTTCCATGGGGTTCCCCATAAAGCCTCTGCTTTCATAGTGCCAACATCAAACTGCCTGGTTGAGCTAATAGAGACTCCTTTCGTGGTGATCACCCTAAGTGAGATTGAGATAGTTAACCTGGAAAGAGTTGGTCTTGGGCAGAAGAATTTTGATATGACTATTGTATTCAAGGACTTCAAGCGGGATGTCCTTCGGATTGACTCGATTCCTTCTACATCACTAGATGGCATCAAAGAGTGGCTTAATACAACTGACCTCAAGTATTATGAGAGCAGACTAAATTTGAATTGGCGGCCTATACTGAAAACTATTACTGATGATCCAGAAAAGTTCATTGAAGATGGTGGATGGGAATTTTTAAACATGGAAGTCAGTGATTCTGAGTCTGAGAACTCACAAGAGTCTGACCAAGGGTATGAGCCTTCAGATGTGCAGTCTGACTCAGGATCAGATGATGAGGGTGATGACAGTGAATCATTGGTTGAATCTGAAGATGATGAGGAAGAAGACTCAGATGAAGACTCAGAGGAAGATGAAGGGAAGACCTGGGAAGAGTTGGAGAGGGAAGCAAGCTATGCAGACAGAGAGAAAGGAGATGATTCCGACAGTGAGGAAGAAAGGAAGAGGAGAAAGATGAAGACTTTCGGTAAGGGTCGGGTAAATGATAAGAGAAATCCCAGTGGCAGCCTTCCGAAGAGGCCCAAATTGAGGTGACATGCGTTTGAAAACCATGTTGTAGTTTCAGCAACCTAGTAAAAGATGGTAGTCGTACTAAATAAGAATAGTTGCTTTCAAGCCTTCAGCTGTAGCATATGTTTAATCAAGGTTTTGACTGTTGCTTTCTATCTCTTTTTATGTGTGTTAATCAACTTGTTCTAAACTTTTACCAGCAAAATCGTAGAGATTAAATACTATGGAGGTTTTATATGTAATCTTGGGTTCATCTTACTTGCTCTCATTTTCGTTCTATCTTGTTGATTTTACGATTTTTTAACTTAACAAAAGGAGCTAGGCAAGTGTCATTAATTAGGTTTTTAGGCAATGCATGAGCAACCTCATTGAGATATACACCGAGTCTGCAGAAATACAGCCATTGTGAATAATGCAACAAAGATAAACATTCTTCTAAAGCACCAGCTGCTACTAAACATTAAAAAAATAAGGAAATACTAGCACATCTATCGTAGCTTGGAACGTTTGGGAATGGCACTACTAGGAGGTGCTCGAGATTTCCCAAAAGCCTTCATTTTCCTTCTTCTCCTATCCTCCTCACTGTCTGATTCATTCCCTTTCTCCCTGTCTGCATTGCTTGCTTCCCTCTCCAACTCCTCCCATGTCTTCCCTTTCTCTTCTTCTGAGTCTTCCCCTGAATCTTCCTCATCTTCATCCTCAGATTCAACCAGTGACTCACTATCAGAGTCATCATCCTCTGACTCAGATTCAGACTCCATATCTGATGGCTCATAACCCTGATCTGACTCCTCTGAGTTCTCAGAATCTGAATCACTAGCCTCCAAGTTCAAAAATTCCCAACCCCCATTTTCAATGAAGCTCTGTGGATCATCAGTAATTGTCTTCAAAATCTGCCGCCAGTTTAGATTCAGCCTGCTCTCATAATACTTGAGGTCTGTAGTATCAAGCCATTCCTTGATACCATCAAGTGAGGTTGAAGGGATGGAATCAATCCTAAGTACGTCTCTCTTGAAGTCCTTAAACACAATGGTCATGTCAAAATTTTTTTGCCCAAGGCCAACTCTCTCTAGGTTCACAATCTCAATCTCACTTAAGGTGACCACAAGGAAAGGAGTCTCTACCAGCTCAACAAGACAGCTTGAAGTTGGCACAATAAAAAGCCGAGGCTTTGTAGGGGACCCCATGGAAGCCAAGTTCTCTAAGAGGCTGATCAAACTCAGATCAAGACCATTAAACTGAGGTTGCCCCCAGAGATCATTCACCCGATTCACAAAACTCTGAAAATCCATGTTGATCTTATTCTTCCTATCCCTCTCCCTTTGCTCTTCTTCAATCTCATCTGGATCATAGCAGACCTCTTTCCCCCTCCCAATGTCTGGTATACATCCATGACCTCAACATAAAATTGCACATCCTTAGTTTTTTTGTTTCCCACCATTATGTGATTGTGCAGATGATAGTGAAGGAGAGTGATCATCTCTTTCTCTGCAGGCTGGAAGAATGCATGCTTTATGTTTCCATTACATAACATCAACACGCTCATCAGCTCTAGTAGTAGAATACCGAAAACCATTAACATGAGCTTCAAGTGTTCCTGGAATCTTTCTCCCACGACCACCAAAAACAGGACGAATCCAAAGGTCAGATAACCTTATAGGCTTGAACCTATTGCCTGCAAGTTGGAGTTTTTCCTGAGTAACCAAGGTTGCCCTCTCAGCTTTCTCAGACTCCCTGGCAACAACATGCCGACGAAGCATTTTAATCTGTTGTACCACTTCACTTATGTGCCTTGGATCCTTCGATCGAAATGAGACTTCTTTTAGATAAATTGCCCCTTGATTCTTTAAAGTGTTTGAATCATGGGGACCAAAAGGAGTCCCTGGAACATTAAATATAATCCGGATAAAGCAATTTCGATTGGTATCCTGCTGGCTGGAAACTGTCCTTATAGTAGCCACATGAAAAGGGACCATACTACCATATATTGGCAAGAGCACGGCCTCATTCTTTTGGTCAATTTGAATCATAAAATCTTTTGGAGGGGGCAAGTCATTGACATTCTTATAAGCAATCAAATCAGTTGAAGTCTTCGCAATTGCTCGATTGTCTCCAGTCCCAGGTCCACCTGCAAGCCGCCTAGCTGTTTCTTCATTCTTCTGACGAGCAAGTTCTGCTTGGTGCTGCCTCCTTAACTCCTCCTTAGAGATCTCATGATTATCTGACCTGAGCACTGTCTTAGACATAAAGAGATCAGACCCATGAGTTTCAGCCCTCACAGACTTTTCTTCTTCTTCCTCATCCTCATTGAATGAGTACGCTACATCCTTAACAGCCTTGGAACTTTTTCCAGTCACCACTTCTATATTTTGCTCACCAACAATAATTGTATCAGCAAGTAACAGAGAATAAGTCCTGTTCTTTGGATTATTACTCTCACACTGCAAGTTCTGAAAACCAAGAGACACATTGAAAACCATTCCAGCTCTCATCACACGGTCATTCTTCGCATTGAGATTAAGCCCTGACTCACGGAACTCAAGACCAATTCCTGTCCCAGCAGATTTTGTTAGATTTGGGATCAAATCAGGAGCATCCTTCTCAACAACTGAAAGTGCTGCTTGATACGCATCACTGATTCTGCTCCCAGGTTTCAACATACCAATTGCAGCTTCATGGGCCTTAAGAAGCACCTCATATGCCTTGCTCTGAAGTGGAGTGGCATCAATCAAGAATGTCCTGGCAATATTTGAGCAATAACTGTTATAGCGAGCTCCAACTGCACATATGATAACACTAGCAGAATCATAGTACAGATTCTCTTCACTACTTGCAGCACTAGGTCTGAGATCAAACTCAACCCCACTTTGAAATATGGGAGGGTAACAAATATCAACGTTCTCTGGCTTGAGCTTCACTTTGGCCAGCTGTGGATTCACTATGGCTTTCTCTGTTTCATCCATCAAGGTAGCATGAGTGATTTTCTTCTCCTCATCAATTACATTCTCAAGCCTTGGAACCACAATATTGTTCATCACGTTGTAACTTAAATAAGCAGCCTTCTTCATATTCATAAGCTCTTCTTTGTCCTTCACAGCAAACAGATCAGATAATCCATTGGTCACATCAGTAAGCTGAAAGCTAGCACTTTTTAGTTTTTAGCCCATGTCTCTAAAAGCTTTCCTCCAGGAGCCTCCCGAGCTATGTAACCAAAAAGAGGAGCATCATTTTCAGATCCCGTGTATTGTGCTCTGATGGACCGAAATATAGCATCCATCAATGCAGTTCCATCATCACTTTTGCCTTCACATGCATCACAACATCAACCCCCACAGCCTCCTTGGCAGATTTCTTCACAACTTCAAGCAGAGAAGCCTTCTTCTGGCTACATAAAAAATGAATCAGCTTCTTTGTGAAAAACCATTATTGTCTCTGGAAACTCATAACCTAGCAACCAAATGTTTAGAGCTGAAGATTTCAGGTAACGCAAATCTTCTGAGGTGGTGAAGTTGCTACTGAAAGACATCAGAAGAACCCCAGAGCTCAGCTTTGTGTTCATTCCAGTGCGAATACAAAGCCTTCAAACGTTTGCAAGAAGTTTTCCAGATTAACAGCAGTAAATACTTCCTGATCCAGGAGCTGCCCCATTTGCATTCCGATGTTCGCCATTGAGAAGCTATTCTGAATGGCAACCAATAGTTAAAGATGAACAAAGAATAAAATTAACAGTAAAAAGGAGGGAAATGTCTAACCAACAGTTCAACATCGAAAATACTTGAGAAACTACAAAAATCAAAGAAACAAATGCAACATACCAACATTTCTCACTCTTCATGAATAAGCCATTCGCCAAACTCGAATTGAAAACCAGCGATTGTAAATTGGATTAAGCTTAAGTTTCACAAATTAAAACTGGAAAACATATAAAACCAAGTTTTACATGTCTAAAATACCAATGGAAACTGTCTAACACTTCAACTCGCCATCAAATGAAACTCAAATTCAAAGGCAAAGTAGGGTTTCAAAAGGTGCCAAATACTTGATAAATACTAAAAACTGAAGGAACAGAATGAGAAAACTCACATTTAGAGCTCCGCTAACAATCTGCTTCAACTTTTAAAGCTTTGAAGGCGAATTAGAGTTCTCTTCTCAGCGGCGGGCTCAAAGCAACTAGGGTTAGGATTCGAAGAGAGCGGCCGAAATAAACGGAGTAAAAAATTTGAGGCTTGGATAACAAAATGCTCTGTAAAAGCCAAGAGAAAGGAAGATCGAGCGGCGAAGAAAAGAGAGGAAATTTGAGGTGTCGTAACGTCTAGATTCCGGGTATCTATCGCAGACATTGATTTTCAGGGAGTCGCCCCACCGAATCTTTTTTATCTTAGGTGCGAATTGCCACCTAAGAACTGTCCTTTTAGGGAACACCTAAGCTTAAGGCGTCCCTAAAAGAATAGGGTTCGGGCTGCTTAACCAGAACAGAGTTCGCGTGATTCTGTTACGTGTTGAGGAAGGTTATAGCCACCCTCACAACGCCATCAAAAGATAAGCGTACCAGCTTAAATTTGTATTATCCAAAAGCCTTAAAATTTACCAAGTAATTAGTTGTTGGAAATGATTCTCAATTGACTCTAATACTTTTAGCAGAAAATTGAGAAAATTCCCTCACCTCAGGAGTATGCAAGAAAAACTACTGTTTCACTTGCAGGGGCTCCGTCGTCGGATTTATTAAAGAAAAATCAAATCATCCAATTAATTATTGGAAATTATTCTCAATTAACTCTAATACTTTTAGCAGAAAATTGAGAAAATTCCCTCACCTCAAGAGTATACAAGAAAAACTACTGTTTCACTTGCAGAGGCTCCGTCGTCGGATTAATTAAAGAAAAAAATCAAAATCAGCCAAGTAATTAATTATCGAAAATTATTCTCAATTGACTCTAATACTTTTAGCAGAAAATTGAAAAAAAATTCCCTCACCTCAGAAGTATGCAAGAAAAACTACTGTTTTTACTTGTAGAGGCTCCGTCGTCGGATTAATTAAGAAAAAAAAAAAAGAAAAAAAAATCAGATCAAAATCAAAGTCAAATAAAAAAAAAATTCAAAAAAAAAAAAAAATTCAAAAAAAAAAAAAAAACCTGGAGCGGCTCGGATCGCGGCTCGGCTCGGCTCGGCTCAAGAAGAGAAAACGGCTCGGAGAAAGCGGCTCGGGAAGAACGGCTCGGCTCGGCTCGGCTCGGAGG